TTGGCCCCAAAGAGCGGCGCAACAAAAAAAAAATGACGCCATGATGAACCAGAGCCGCTAGGTCAAGAAGATGGCGTATCCAGATCATATGGGGGCCTGCGTACACGCTCTACGGGCTCTCTTATGGACGCCATGTAGCTACTTAAGCGAAGAGCCGAATATCCCCCGAAAATATTCAAAACGTAGTGAACGTCGACACGGGCACGAAGTAATGAGCTCCTGCGCTCCTGATAAAATATTGGGGTACAATCCATGTAATGCAATCGATGTGGCGGTGTGGTGTGCAATCGATGTGGTGCAATTCGTTATGGTGGCATCCGCGCGTGACACCCTCCTTTGCTCGTGCCAACATCCCACCCCCCACCCTCAATACATTCGCCAAATCCAGCTGGGGTTCCGCTTGGCGGGGTAGACTCAACAGGAGGACAGAAGGAGGACCGCCACGCTCTGAGAGGGGGGAGTCCCGCCGTGTGCTAGTGGACCAGCTGGCTGGCGGCGGCACAGCGCCGCACCGTCGCCCGAAGACGGGGGTGGGCGTACTGAACAGCTCGTTTGGGGCACTGTAGCCCACGGGCACGGCAATCATTGAAGACTGAGTAGATTACATCAGCGGCGATCGCATGAGAGAGGACGTCTTCTTTGGACTGAACATCCCAGAAACAAGGCATAATTATGGAATTCGCATCGGAGCCCCAAGGAGGAAGAGACACTCGGGCGTGAAGGAGGACGGAGGAGTCGGCCGCGAGATTCTGGCAACCGAAATTACAATACGAGGTGGCCTGGCGGAAGCATCCACTGGTGGGCCAAGCATTGAATATAGTACGAGTCGCAAGCGTAACATAGAAAAACACGGCAACCACTTAGAGATAAGAAGGAGCCTACGTTGAATCAGATCAAGATGAATATGCCATACTTCTGGAGCCCAATAACAGATTCTGGAACCGATGAGATCTTGGACTGGAACGACGGGCCGTTTGCTTTTTGGAGGCCTCGAAGGGGGGCGTGGATGGGATAATCAGGAAAACGGGAGATGATCTGATTATACTTCCACATAGGCCAAAGGATGGGGTCGGAGAAGAGGGGGTGGATGTGCCTGGCGGCGATGATAGCGTCGTCACATTCGAACTGATTTTGCAATCATGCGCAGCTCGTGGAATACGTCGTTCTGCCGGGCTGCTCTGATCATGGTTGCCTGGGATACTGTCCTGAGCCTGGCGATGTGTTTGCCAAGGCCAAGGTCCTTCATGCGATAAAAAGTAGCGGGAGGAAACGCATGCCGTGGAGCACGAACTAACGTTTGGTGGCGTTCTCTCTCCTGGGCCTTGGCAGCGCTGGGGCACGGTAGGAACTGGGCGACATGGCTGCACACTGGAGCGGCATAAATATTGTAGGCAACGACGCTCTGCGCCAGACTCTGCTTCATTTGTTTGACATCATGCGCGCGGGATACCAGCTTGAGGACAGGGGCAGCCATGCAAGCTTGAAGAGCAGCATTGTGGCCTACAGCAACTCCGAGATTCACGGCATTTGGCTGGACCTAAAACCTAGAAGCGCTGACATGGATATCCTGGAATATCCGCATGATATGCTCAAGGTAGTTTTGGTGAATCACGAGAATGATGCATTTATTCATGTTCAGGACGAGACCAGTAGAATGACCAGGGCGAACAAGGAACCGCAGGACCATTGGAAAACTGACTAGAATGTCCGAGCATGCCATCGCAATATCGTCGGCGAGCGCTGTCAGGCAGGTCTGGAGCCTTGGCTGGGAGTGCTTGATACACCCGAGTACAGGATCCAGGATAAGGGCGAATAGGACTCCTGAAAGAGGGCAGCCTGGTTTCATTCCTCGGGAGGCCAGGCAGTAAGCGCGCCAGGTCCAGGAGGGCCAATGTACATGAAAACGTTGTGGTAAAGTTTTATGATGGCCTGGAGGATCTTGCTCGGGAGCTTCATCTTGCCTAAAACCATGAAGAGATCCACCGGTGGAAAATGCTGGGGTGGGCCTGCGCGAAGTCGAACAGGCAACCACCAACGTTCACCAGACCGAACGTTCCTGCCCAGCTAAGCAAGTGCCCGCCGAAGAACACAACATTGTCGATCAGACTGCGACCTTCAATGCAGCCTTTTGGATGGGACCAGCGACCTCGGCAGCGACTGCTTGGAGAGGTTGGGCGAAAGCGGAAAAGGATGATTTGGTTGTCCGTGTTGGGGAGAGAGAGAGAGAGAGAGAACAACAACAAAAAAGAGAGGAGGCGGGTATCTTTCGGGGATATGTCCTCCTGACCGCCGTTGCTGATCGCACCCTTAGGTAAGAACGCACACTTGCAGTGATTGAATTCCTCATCGGGAGGTTCGTCGAAGAGGAGGTGGAAGTACAGCGCGTAAAGATCCTGCTGAACTACCTGCCCTCCAAGCAACGAACGGAATACCGTCAGGGCCAGCTGCGGTATCCCTCTTGTGCGTTCGTCTGTCGATGAATCGATTTTCAGAGAAAACACAATCATGCCGATGGTGCGCGCGTGCGACATATTGGCCGTGAGTTCCGTCAATAGCTTGCGCGCGCACGGTAGAACAATTATAGTACATGGTATCCGCATCAGGTTCCCCTCAAATACTTTACCCCAGCACTCGCACCGTTTTGTGGGCATAGTCTTCGGTGTCCTTAACACCAGCTACTCGAAGGGTAGGCCGAACAGCCGCCCAGACAGACGAGAGACGGCGAATCCCAGCAGGAGCAGTGGCCTGCACCCAGCGAACTAGGGAGCCTCAAGAATCCTTCGGTCGTCCTGCTCTAGCATGTCGCGTGCAACTGTGAGGGGGGCCAGTAGAAATCCAGCCAACGAGTCCATATCATCATATCGCAACCGGAAAACTTGCGAAAGACAAGGAACGCACGACAAGCACAACGCGCACGACGCTCATCACATCGACGGTGTGCTCGAAGTAGCTGCAAACAGACGTGCGCCGTGGAAGCCAGGCACGCAACTCCTTTGGCTTCGATATGCTGGACTACCTGGTGACTCGCGCTCCTCACGAGCGCCGCGATGTCCTTAACACTCGTATGGGGGTTGGGGCCCAGGGTGCTAGCACTGAGCAACTAGTCCAGGAACGCGGGGAACATCGAGTGATTGGCGATCCAGACGGGCACGGAAGGAGGTTCCCCTGAAGGCTGGTGCGGCTTCTAGCAGAAGAACACAGGGGCGTGGTCGGCGGGCTTCGCAATATTCGGGATGTCCCAAGAGGTGCCCGAGGAAACATTGAATTCCAATAGTACGGCGGCAAGGATATTCGTGCATATCCGATCGGGACTGGCATGCGTCGCGTCGCCCTGGGTGGTACGACGGGGTGTCCGGGGTCTGTCCAACCTCACAGAACCGCGGGACAATGTCGTCAAATATATTGGAGAGCCGAACCTGGCCAACTCGCTCAGAACCGCTGCGAACCCAAAAACAACTTTCACCATATACAAGGTACTTAAGATCGCCCACTATGAGACAGGAGACGAAGTGGGGAAGGGTGGGATCTTATGGAGTACGTCGTATGCTTAATGTAACTGTCGAAATGGAAGTTGACGATTTGGAGGATGCCCTTGGGACTGGAGAGAGGAAGGACTGCGATTCTGCCTAGCTGTAATATCTCAAACGTGTGGGAGCTGAAAAGCTGGAAAAGACACTCGCGGATGAAGACTAATATGCCCCCAGGGCTGGCGGACGACCATAATGAGCCAAACGCACGCATGTCTCGGAACTTCTTTTCGAGAGTATCGAGATCTCCCTGGTAACCGTGGCTCTCTTGGACACAAAGGACGTCGTGAGTGCGGAGGAGGGAAGAGAGACACCTGTACTTGCTACGGCTGCGAGCACGATTGGTGGCGAGCGAACAAAAAAGTGTCTGCGCGTTCCACGAGCAGACAGACAGAGACTGAGAGGGCAAAGGGGGGCTCAGAGTTGGCGGCTTCACTTCAGCATGCTGGAGCCCCTCTCCAGCTGGATGCAAAGGTAAATGTCCTGGAAGCGGGCCCAAAATGGGCATGTCGCGACTGTCGTCCCGTGTCTGTGACCGTCACAGCACCAGTGACTTGTTAGCGGCGGCAGTGATCGAGCGGATGGCTGCAAGGTCCAAGCCTCACTGGCGGAGCTCGGCTTCGTTCGCGTCGAAGTGGAACTCGTCGTCACTTATGTAGACCGATTGGATGATGGGCCAGATGTCCTGCTGGTCGGTCAGCGCGAGGACGAAAGGAGGAGGAGGAGGAGGTGGGCGGGAAGAGAAGGGCAATCGCACCCAACTTACCCCTCTCGCTCTTTCCGCCCCGGCTCTGCCGGCCCTGTCTTCCATTCCTGCTCCCCCGCCTTCCCCTTCTGCTCCTCCCCCACTTCCTCCTCCCACTCCCTCTGGGGTAGCACGGCTGGAATAGGGAGAACGTCTGAACCCAAAGAGAGAAAGGGTGCCCACCACCGCGGGCCATCTGCAGGCCCGTCCAGATTTTGGTGGGTGTGGCGGCCTCCGAGCCTAGCCACAATATATTTCCAATAATTATAGATATGTGTAAAAAAGGACAACACAATCAGGGGGGTGAGGCATGTTACCGTCGTGAGAGCGGGGAAACGGGCGGGCGGTGGGGGGACTGTAACCGGTAACAACGGCTGCGGCGGGGCAACACCGCAGACGGCCTGACCTTTTCTGGTACTACGAGACGCCTGCGGGTAGGACACTATGCACGGTAATGTGCTGAACTCTGGCGGCAATACCGTAATACTCTGCGAGCACTATGCGCGCACATTAGCATGTGGAGCCCTGCCAACACCGCGGGTGCTCGTGAGCACCGACGTATGTCTGCGAACACCGACGCATGCCTGTGAACGGTTGTTTCGGGCGTTACTGTATGGGGGGGGATAGGGGTTGCATGCGTAACGCCGATGGGGATCATAAAACTCGGAATGCGAATACGCAAGCTCGGTAGCTCGGTGGTGGTGGTGGTTACCCGTGGGTTTCTGCACCCTGCCACCGAGAAGTGGACGCAGTTGCCAGTCTCCAGCTCGGGCGCCATGTAGACCTCTTGGCCTCCGCCCGGGCACTCGCATCCTCCCACCCCCTCTCCCACAAAACTTGTCCTGGCCAAAATCGTGGTCGCGCCCGTGATCCAAGACAAAACGACAACCACGCACACTCAATGCTCGTGTAGCAGGGGTGGATCAAGAAACGAAGACTATGAGAAATGGAGGAGAGAGAGAGAGAGAGGTGGAGAAGTTCTGGCATAATGGCCCGTATAGGGTGGGACGCCGCGAAGCATCTTCTGATCGCGTTGGATCACGATCTGGTACTTCACCAGTGGACACGAACATACCAGCTAGCAAAATCGCCGACTCCGCTTCTCCAGTCCTGCGCGTTAGTCGGTCTCGTTCGCGAGCTTCCCAAAACGAGGAGAGGGGAGGAGGGAACCCGAGCTCAAATTTCGAAGCCTTGCCCGACAGATGCCCCCCACCCCACATCGCCGAAAGCCTCCAAGAGGGCCCCCAGAGACCTCGAAAAGGCCCCCGAGAGGCCCCAAGAGGCCCCCGAGACCCCCCCCCAAGAGGACCTGAAGAGGCTCCCAAGATGCTCCAAAAAAATGTCCCGCGAGCGCGCAGGCAAGTGCCTACGACGCGATGATGAGCCCCCCAGAGGCTCCCAAGAAGACCCAAGAGGGCCCCAAGTGGAGTCCAAGAGGGGCCCAAGAGGGGAGGGCACGAACAGCCTCTTCGAGCCCTCTGCCGCGAAACGCCCATGACTGCCCACGCAGCACTTCAAGGAACCCACCACCACCGATCAGCGCCGCAGTGGCAACGAACACGCGGGCAAACGCCCGCGATGCAAAAGCCTCGGCCGGCGGAATGAGCGAAGCGATCCGCCGCCCCACTGGGCACGGCGTGTGAGATCCACAGCATGGTCTTCAATAGTGCTTTGTGTAAGTCTTCTCTCCAACGCGCTTTTCACATCTACCCCTGCCTCTGAGCCCTCGCAACCCCTCCTATGGTCCTCCCCGCACCTCGCTCATTCCGCCGGCCCGGGGGCCCTGGCTGCGGCCGGGGCGCCTTCTGGCCGCCATTTCCGGCCAAAGACGACCCCCCTTTCACGTGCTAGCCTTCCAGGCGCCGCCAGGCGCTCTCAGAGACCTCTCCAGGAGCCCACCGGGCCGGCGTTTCGGGCCTCCTGAGGCTCTCCTGGGCTCATTTTCACGCTCATTCAGCCAGTTTGAGCCGTTTCACATGCCTTTCCACCTCTTTTCGAGCCACCAACACCAAAACACCCAACAAGCAAAAAACATAGTAAAACACATAAGATGTTGATGAAGCTGGCCTTCTCGCCCTTCTCCTTGCCCCTCTCTCGGGGCTCCCGTGCCTCTCCGCTGGCTCTTGCGGCCATCTTAGAACTCGGGCATACTCTCTACGACCGTCCTGACAGCCTCTCGACCCATCGTGGACCGTCTGGCCGCCTTCCTGGCACCGTGTGTCGCCCATCTGGGACGCCCCCTCAGAGCATCCAGGGGCTCTTCCAGGAGCCGCAAACAAACCTGGACTGTTTATTGTTCCCTTCCTGTTTTCATCGTTCACCCCAAGTCGCCGCAGTTGACCCATTCCGGCTCCTTTTTGAGCCCCGTCCAGAGGTACCCCTGGGACGAACCCGACGGTTTTTTATTGAGCTTCTCCAGCCTCTCTGCAGCCGTCCTAGCCTCAGGATCATGTGAAAGACATTCCTCGGCGCGCTTTCTGGGACGAACCCGACGTTTTTTTCTGTTCCTCCAGCCTCTCTGCGGCCGTCCTGGCCACAGGGTCATACGACACAGAGCGCGCTGCTTTCAGTTCCTCCAGCCTCTCCGCGGCCGTCCTGGGCTCAGGGTCATACGACAGAGCTCGCTGAGGAGCCCAATGTCCTCTCCATAGAGCCCCACGAAGCCTCCAAACGGAAGCACCAGCACCAGCACCAGAACATGTCCTATTCATGCGCGCGGACCGGCCGCCGCTCCCACAGAGCCTCCAGGATCCAAAAATAGTGGGGCGGCGGTCTGCCCCCTCAGGGGCGTTCAATTAATCTCGTTCCAGCGAGCCTCCAGCGCTGCGTCTACAGTCTCCACGACATCACCCTTCTCTCGACTGCCGTCAGCTAGCCACGAACACCGTTCACTTATTACATCCGTCATCGTGCAGCCCAAAGCGCACAAGGAGCTGCATCGAACGACGTGCATGATGCGCGCCCGTGATCGTCACTACTTCCGTCCACCCCTGCCGTGAGGCGCAACCCCGCCCACGCTGCTTCCAGAGTCCTTCCAAAGTGGGGCCGGAGCCAATGGGTTCCGAGGAGCGCGCCGCATCGTGGATGCATCGCCGAAGGAACCGAAGCTTCGGGTCAGAGAAAAGCGGGCTCCGGATCTTGCCGAGTCACCGACGCATCGGCGATGCGGCGCGGTCCTCCGACCCCATCTACTCGGACCCCATTTCGCCCACAGCTGCAGTCTGCGGAAAGTCGGCGCGTCGACCTCCACAATCGATCGCTATCGGATTAAGCCAGAATGCGACTCTCATCGACAGAACGCATGGGACGAGTAAGAGGACAAGCGAGGAGAAGGGGAAGAGGAATGATGATTGAACAAAACGAAGCGGTGGAGTAGGGGGAGCGAAGCGTCAGGAAGAACGGGAATGTGGAACATTATACAGACAACACCACCAAGAGTCGGGAGATGAACGCAACATCCGCTTCACTGTGGATGCAAGGATGAAGAAGGACAAAGAGATGGGGAAGGAGGATGAAGGGGAGGAGGGAAACCAGAGTAGACCCACGGTGCATCAACGATGCTGCATTATAGCCGCCCGTCCCAAGTCCCCTCCCGATAATTCCTCACACGCCTATCCTTTCAAGACAATAAACGCACCCTTGAAAAACCAACGCCCGATGGGCCTGCCATCCAGGCAAGAGCCCCGTTGTGACACATATTCGCCTGGTATCCTGCCAGCGCACGATGAGGAATACGAGGAGGTATGACCATGCAATTCGACGAAGAATCCAACGAGATCCCAGATAGAAAAAATCGCGGGCCCAACGGGCCAGAAGCGTGCTAAGATCTCCCGTGACTACTTTACAATATGTACTTCTACTTCGCGCGTGCGGGGCGGCCCCTGGGGGTCCCTGAGTCGAAAACAAGCTGGTAAGCTTAGGTATGTGTTACGCTTTAAGCGTTGCCATATCCCAGGCTTTGGCTCATATCGCATGAGCAAGAGTGCAAGACGAAGCATGGGATCTGGAGTAAAGGATAGGATGGGCATCGTCAATGGAAAAGGTATTTTCCGATCTCTGATGCAAGTCGTGCGCCTCAGTGAGGCACAGTCATATATTTGGCCGGGCCCGGCTTGAGCCAGGCACGGCAGCGGTACATGCTCGATTTATACCTCGCCTTTAACCTTCTCCGTTTAAAGTCGGAGGGGGAGGAGACGAGCAGGTACCGCACTTCTACATTATGCGGAAAAACAGTGCTAAGCAGCAGCGGCTGCCTACAAGGAAAGGGCGCGCGAGTAGCCTCGCTACCGGCGAGTTTCCTCGCTACTAAAGCGCACCTGCCCGCGGGTTTCCCCGCTGGCTCGGGAGGCAGGGCCGTCCTGAGACGACCTGCCCGCCCTATACGGCGTATGTTTCTTCAGCTCGTGCTTGAAGGATTGCTGGCCGGCCATTACTTGTAGGAGCAACGCGCGGTCAATACTACCTTTGGTATGACCATCGGCAGTCATATCCCGCGTGTCACACCATTGGACGCTTTCCACGATTCCGCGTTCCATCATCTGGCGGATCCAGCTGATGTGCCCAAGCAGAGTACATTCTGTGGGCTTCTTCAGATCTTTGCTAGACAAAGACTTGAAGACAGACTCGGCATCAATAGTCAGAGTGACTTTGATACATAGACCACCCATTTCCAATATGTTCTTTAACTGTGTGGGGGTCAATGGTCCCGAGTGTAGCTCGTGGAGCGTTACAATGGTCGGGTAGCAGTCTTCCAAGTTGTGGGCTGCTGCCAGTGTTTCCGCAGAGTAGCTCGAACGCACCTGCAGTCGATGAGACTTGCAGTATGCGTCCACCAGGTGCACGACGGGTTTCCCCGCTTGCGTGTGGCCACGCCTCAGCAGGTTAGCCCCGCGGATACCATAGCCTTTGACTTCGTCGTCTTCATCTCCGTTGAGACGACGATAGCCAGAATCGCTATGCAGGTCGACTTCTCCTGTTGGGGTCATAGCTTGATACACGATCTTCTTCGGACCTGCCTGTAGCTTTCTGGTAACCGCGTTTAGTCGTCGTACCTGGATGTTTGTCGGTTCCTGGATACGTTGTAGTGAGACAACATAGACCATCAGCCATACCTGCGTGATCAACGCATAGGCTAGAGCGCCACGAAGACTGACGAACATATCAGAAATCGTCTTTGTCGCTTTGCTCTCAGGATCAGCTCCTGTGAGTTCTGGATGTGTGATAGGACGAAGCTGTTTGATGTATTCGTCCTGATCGAGAGTGACGCTCCCATCATCGGTCTTGTTGTACCGAACGGCACAGTTTGTGTATGTGTGCTTGTTCAGTTTGCACTTCCCAAACGTATCTTCAACACACTTGACATACTTGTCAATAGCCTCTTCCTTCCCAGTCATATTGATGTCATCAACGTGCTTGGCTGTCAGGAGGTTTGGGCTCATCTCGAACTCTTCGTCGTATGAAGTAGGCTGTAGCCCAAAGCTCCTAGTGATGGACCTGAGCTTCAGCGAGAATGCCCCGGGAGCATCCTTCGCGCTCGTCCCCGGTTTCAGACACCGGAGACAATGCTTTGATTCGTCATATGACTCAAAGCCTGGCAGTGTGCGAAGGACAGCTGCTGACCCAGGTGGTAGTGTGAAGCACACCACACGCTCTTTCTCGCCCGTTGCCGCGGCGAGCTCGCCATAGGTCAGTCCCTTCAAGAAAGCCATGTTGATGTCCAGGGAAGCGATGATCCAAGCTTTGTTGCATGCAGCAGAACTTGCGAGCAGTCTCTGGCTTGACCTCCTTGCCGT